GTTTGTAGAAGCACCAGAGAGAAAGGAGACCATGAAACTGTTATCATTGCCCCTTGCAGAGGGTGGGAGAGGCAGGCGACAGGGAGACCTCCTCTGTACTGCTGTAACTGGTGGTTGGCCATCATTTATGTTTAAAAAAAAAAACAACCAGCCAGGAGGCTCCTCCCACCAGACGGTTGCCTTTACTTCTATGGTGCAGGGCAACATCTGGCCAGAGACGCTCACCTTCAAGCAGCTGGCCCTGCCATGGAACTGTCTCCCACCCCAGCAGCCTGGTCCCACCTCTGGCCAGCTAGCTGGTGCCAAGCCAATGGGGCCTCTCTGAGAGCAGTTCAAGCTTCAGGCCACCTGTAAGTGACAGGGCTCAGCCAGGGCCTTTCTCCTGTGTGTGTGTGTGTGTGTGTGTGTGTGTGTGGTGGGGGGAGGGGCAGACACGAGGCAGGTGAGACCAATTCTAATCAAATGCCTTCATACTAATATTTTAGAGCCTGCGTGCATGTTAGCTCAGAGGTATTCAGGATACAGGGGAGCCAGTTAGGGTTTTGTTTGTTTGTTTTTGTCCTCTAAGAACTCCTTTTCACAACAGATTGGATTCTGCCAGTCTCTGATGGGTGTTTGGGTGTCAGGTCTCCCAGCCACACTCTCTTAGCCCCACGCAGTCCCCACACCTCTGCCCCAGCAGTGTCAGGGAGCCCTTCCTCCCACTTTGGACTTGGCATCTGACTTCACCCCTCCTAGAGCTGCTGGAGCCCCGACACTCAGGCTGCCAGGACATGTAGTTCTATCGCAGCACCTTCAACTTAAGACCCGTTAGTAGCTCTCGTTTCTTTCAAGGTAGACGCCAAAGGCCTTAACATGGCCGACAGACCTCTCTGTGACCTGAGCCATATAGAACCCCCTGTCTTCCCTTGCTCATCCTGCTCCATCCCAAAGGGCACATTTCCGTTCTGGCATACGCAAGGCACACTCTTGTCTCGGACCATGGCTCTGGCTGACTGGGCTTCCTTGAGAGTGGCTAAGTCCCTCATTCACTCCAAATGTTTCCGGAAGTCACAGCTCCTCAGTGAGATCTATTGTGACTCTTCCATTCCTTTTGTATGCTGTCCTATTCTATCACACTTTTTAACATGCTGTAAAATTTACTATTTATTATATTGACTGTCTCCTAAACTCGAGTGTAAGATCTTCAAAGTTATGGCTCTTTTCTATTTTGTTTAATACTGTATCCAAACATAGAGAGCAGGGGCTATCATGAAATATGGTCTGGATAAATGTTTGTCAAATGAATGAGTATTTAGATTATTTCTTTTTTGAGCAATTACAAACAATACTTGTATCAATCTTCTTGAATATGCATAAGAGTTTATCTCAGCAAAAAAATTGCGGGATGGAGGATATATTAGTGTTAAACTTTGCAAAATTATGCCAAACCATTTTTGAAAGTGGGTATTTAATGCATACTCCTATCATCCATTCAAGTTTACAAGTTTCTTAATTTTTCCAGTTGAATGGGTTTTTATACATTTGCCTAATTACTAACGAACAGGACATAATGAAATCTGGATATTTATTGGCATTGTGTTTCCTTTCCTATGGAAAAACCTGTTTATATGTTTTGCCAATTTTTCTTTTAGGTACTTTAACTTTTCTTTATCATTTGTATGCATATACTAGACATATTTTTATTACTGGTGTTATATGCTGTAAAAATCTTCTGCCAACTTATAGCACTTTGGGGGATGAAGAGAAGTTTTTAATTGGAATATAGTCAAATTTGTCAATATTTTATTTTAGAATTATTACTTTGTGTTCTTATTTAAGAAATTCTTGCCTACTCAAAGGACAGAAAGATATATGGTACCAAAAGCTTTTGAAATAAGTTCCAAATCAATTTCTTCATTTTATACTATACTATATGAGGCATAATCACTCAAGTAGGCTAATTTCCTGCATTAGATTAAGTTCTTCTACAGTTGGCTGTTTGGTTGGCTGTGGGTATACAGGCAGAGTTTATGTGTATATGGCCTAGTCTCAGTGTACATGCCCTAGATTAGTGTACATGTCTTACATTCATTGTATATGCCTACATTTGGTGTATATGCCCTCATTTCTGTTCCCTGTAACCCTATCTGGTGCTGCTGACCGCTTATAGTATGACACCATCATGGCAAGTACTTTATATACAATACTGATGTAATTATCATAAAGACTTTATGAGATAGTTAAATACTACATTTTACAAATGAAGAAACTGGGGCTCAGAAAGATTAAATAATTTTTCAAGATCCCACAGCTAGTAAGTCATAGACTGTGATGTACTTGGCGCATAAATGTCCAGAAGACATGGGTAGAATACATATCTATGGAGAACTGTGTAACTCAGCTCCACAATGCTGACTTCAGCTTGTAATTCCATATGGTCAGTATGTTATTTGAATAGTCTGAATTTCCTACTGGATGATGTGTACCAGGAGAGGCCATATTTCTTTTGCTTACATTTCTATGCTGTCTGACTCTATCACAAAATGTTGAGCTCTGAAGCCAGGGGCCAGGAGTTTCCTCTAGGTCTTCTCATGCAGGTGCATGGGCCCTAGGACTTGGGCCATCTTCTACTGCTTTCCCAGGCCACAGCAGAGAGCGGGGTCAGAAGTGGAGCAGCCAGGACTCGAACCAGCACCCACATGGGGTGCTGGCACTGAGGTGGAGGTTTTACCTGCTACGCCACAGCACCGGCCCCCCTAATCTCTTGCTCCCTATCTTTATTAGAGTTTTTTTGGTCTGATCACTCATCATGAATTCATTTAAAAATTTCATCTACACCAGACCCTAGTTTTCCTACATGCCTCATTTGTTTTGTGGTTATTGCACATGTCCACAACTTTAGGTTGTATTCTTACCCCATACTCTCACCCCTCATTTTGTAAAAAATTTATTTAAGAAGTAGAGAGACAGAGATAGATTGATTGATCTATCAATAGATAGGTAGATAAATAGATCCATCCCATCTGTTGACCCATCCTGGATCAGTTCGAAGACAAGAACTGGGAACTCTGTCTAGGCCTTCCATATGGGTGGAGGGAACACGATTACTTGAGCCATCACTGCTGCCTCCACAGTCTTCATTAGGTAGTGGATTCTGAATAGCTTTTTAAATATCATCTCTTGATTATTAGCCAACCACTGCGCCAAACTCCTGCCTTTGGAGGTTCCCTTGTCAATATTCCCTTTATGTAGGGCAAGGAGACTGTTCTGTGTAGAAGCCAGTGAGATAGCCTCTCTCAGTTTGAATCAAGGAAGTGGCTGCAAAGAACTAGAGGCAGGACAAAATCTCTGTTGTGATGGTGGCAGTGGCAGGGATGTTGTTTGTGGGTCAGCAGTGGCAGCATGCTAGCAGTATCCAGACAGGCAGCACGATGCTACACCTGCAGTGTCTGTGACAGTGACTTCGGTCAGCTTGTACGATGATTCGCTTGTGTTTTCTTGGCTAAGGTCTGCCTGTGGGCCTCTGAGCCTGATACTCTGGCCTTTTTGGGAATTTCATGAATCACCCATCTTTCGTTTTGATCTCTGTTTCTTATGCCAACTGTTAACATCACATGAAATTACTGACCATATTTTTTGCCAAGTTTGAAGATATTTTTGATGGTGTGACTTAAAAGTGGTGTATAGAAAATGCACATCTTTAGGACTCTGGGGAATGTTGTAAGCCCATTAAATTAGATATATAAGTTCCAAATTAAATTAAAAAGACATATGCTTTCAATGCTGGTGTGGTCTGATTCCCATATAGGCTATTTTGTCCCAGAGTAAATAGCAAATACAGATTTTAATTGGTAAAATGGTGACTAATAATGACTTTAGACCTGAAGGTTAACTTAGTATACACACACACACACACACACACATATACACACACATATATATATACACCGGTGTACATATATATATATATGTACTGGTGGAATAAAGACAACACAGGAAATGCATACAACATAATCATAAAATATGAGTAAGGACAAAACGTTAGTGTGGGAAATGGTTATCCATCCCGCACTTTTACCATCTCTTTCTGACACACAGGTCACTTCATACATTGAATCTTACATCCCATGTTCCTTCCTGCCTACAAGCCTTCCTCCTATGTTGTGAACAGCCCCACCAATTCTATGTAAAAGTCACCATGTTCAAGACCCAGAGCAAATGCTGTTTTCCCGGAAGTATTTCTTGTCCCATGAAGGCCTCACCAATGTATTCTCCTTTGGCTTCATGGCACAATTATGGTTTGAATATCTGGAATTGATTTGCTCGTGTTTCTCCTGTATGAAAGTTATCGTTGGCTTATTCCTATCCATCTGAGGAGGACAGTCCTGGGGAGTTGCTCCCCCTTGCACTGCCTGTGGGGTACTGGCATGTTGTGCTGGGCTGAGTGTGCTGTCACAGTGATACAGTCAAATGTTGATTTTTTAATAAAGATATATTTGAAAGGCAGAAGGAGAGATGGCAGGGGTGGGGGTGGAGAGATTTCATCCATCTGCTGGTTCACTCCCCAAATGGATGTCATGGTCAGAGCTGGGCCAGGCTGCAATCAGGAGCCTGGAACTCCCTCTGGATCTCCAGCATGGGTGCAGGAGCCCAAGGACTTGGGCCATCTTCTGCTGCTTTCACAGGCACGTTAGCAAGGAGCCAGATCAAAAGCAGAGCAGCTGGGACCAAACTGGTGCCCATATGAGACGCTGATGTTGCAGGCAGCAGATTCACCTGCTGTAACAAACACCAGCCTCTCAAATGTTTTCATATTTTTATTGTGACTTTAGGAACTTTGTACATAAATAATTGTCTACATCTGTAATATCTTAGGGAGCATCCCTAGAGGTTTTAGCAAATTTAAGAAAGTGATGTGTTTAATTAGATATCTAAGAAAAGCTTTGTAATTATGCTACTGAAAATGATGATGCTATTAGGACTTGCTTTCTGTTGAACTCCTTTCATCCAGTTATAAATTATTGGGAGATTTTGGTCTGGCCCAGGGTCTTTTTCAAAGCCCCCTTCAGCTCATTATTCCTTAGACTGTAAATAAAGGGATTCAACACGGGGACCACGATCATGAAAATTACTGCTGCAACTGAATCTTTTCCAGAGGAGTGGTTGGAGGAGGGACACATATAGACCCCTGTGATTGCTCCATAGAAAAGAACGACCAAGGAAAGGTGAGATCCACAGGTGGAGAAAGCTTTGAGCTTTCCTTGGGCAGAAGGGATTTTCATCACAGCAAAGGCGATGAGACTGTAGGATGCCAGGATACACACGGAAGGAACTACAAAGATCAGCCCTACTGCAGCCAGCACCATCAGCTGATTAAGACTAGTGTCAGAGCAGGAGAGAGACAAGAGAGAGTTGGCATCACAGAAGAAATGGTGGATGATACTGTCAGAGCAGAAGTGCAGTCGGGCCATCATGACAGTGTGCAAGAGAGGGTTCAAAATGGCAATGACCCAAGGCAGAGCCACCAGAGAGGCACAGAGGCGCCGGGTCATAGTGGAGGCGTAACGCAGAGGGTGACAGATGGCCACATAGCGGTCATACGCCATCACCGTGAGAAGAAGGTTGTCCATGTTGGCAAACATCATGCAGAAGTACATCTGAGCCAGGCAGCCAGCATAGGAGATGGACAGAGTCCGGGTCTGGATGTTCTGCAGCATCTTGGGGACAGTGGCTGAAGGAAGGCAGAGGTCTACCAACGACAGATTGGCAAGGAAGAAGTACATGGGTGTGTGGAGGCGATGGTCTGCGGCGATGGCCAGCAGGATGAGCAGGTTTCCAGACAGCCCTGTGAAGTACAGACACAGAAAGAGGGCAAAGAGTAGCCCCTGGTGCCCTGGCCAACTCGGGAAGCCCAGGAGGAGAAATTCAGAGACACTGGTTTGGTTTTCCTTTTCCATCGCTTGGATGCACCTGCATGAAGACCCACAGACAGTTTTACCTGTAAAAAATTTCCCCTTCACCAAGTGTTTTTAGGCCATTCTCCCTCCTCTGATGCTGTCTCCCAAGCCCCACTGAGCCTCAGCTGTGTCCTTACACCTCCCCAGTTGTTTTCACAGCTGTTCCACACTGGGTCCTCACCTCACCCAACATTTCCACGGGATCTGTGTGCATCTCCCCTGGATAAGCAGGGACTCTGCCTCCTTGTGGTGTTGACACCAACTCTGGCAGGTTCTGCACTGTGTGTGGCTGCCTGACTGCTCTGTGTTGCAACACATCAATGACTGACATACCAAATAGCTCCATGCCAAATGCTGAGATGCACTGAGGGCAGTTTTCCCAATATTTGTCCAGTACCATGTGAACCAACCTACTTGAAACCAGACACCTACCACTTAAAATACATTAAGATGAATATAAACTACTTAGCTTTTTACAATTCAAGAGAAAATATATGCACTTGCTTGACACGTGTAACAAGCCTTCAAAAATAGTTTGCATGAATTATGAACAACTCAGGAAACTTTATAAGCTAAAGTTATATGAGTCATTACATAATACATGTAAGTAAGACTGGAGGAGAATGCAGAAAAAGTTGTGTCAAAATGGGGAACAGGAGCTGGTGTTGTGGCTCAGTGGGCCAAGCTGCCGCGGATGATTCCAGCATCCTGTGTGAGTACTAAACCAAGTCCTGGCTGCTCCACTTCTGATCCAACTCTCTGCTAAGGCACCTGGGAAGGCAGCAGAAGATTGTGCATGTCCTTGAGTTCCTGCCACCCATTTGTGAGACCCAGATGGAATTTCAAGCTCCAAGCTTTGGATTGGCCCAGTCCCAGCCACTGCAGCTATTTGAGGGTTGAACCTATAGATCAAAGACCGCTCTCTCTCCCTCTCTCCCTGTAATTCTGCCTTTCAAATAAATTAATCAATCTTAACAAAACAGGGGACATTTAAAATATTCCCTTTTAATGTTTTTGTGACATTACAACCATTTCCTGGAGTTGCAGAAAGCACAACATCATAGAAGATAGAGTTTTTGGCTTGAGAACCTTAGAATCAGGGTGTGGAGAAAAAATACTATTATGGAAAATAATTAAAAGACACCCATAAATGCAGATGAAGCAGTTTCAGGAGAATGAGGTCTCCGAGAAAAGCAGCCAAAAGCTTGAAATGGGCAGGCTCTGGAATCAGCCTGTACAGAACCCAGACCCCATTATCCACAGGCTGGGCGAGGCAGGCAGACTCTCCCAGCTCTCATCCAGATAACTGCCATGAACTTCCAACTGACCTTCCTTCTGTGGTCTTCCACTTTTTAATCTTTCCTTCATGCTTCCTTAAAAACTGTCCCGTGTTGTGGTGAACAGGGTAAGCCTCAGCTTGTGATGCTGGCATTCCACCTTCCTGTGCATGGACCTGGGAAGGCAGGTGAGTTCCTGTCACCCATGTCGGAGAGCAGGATGGAGCTCCTGGCTTGGGTCTGGCTCAGTCTTCTGTTGCAGCCATTTGTGGAGTGAACTAGCAGATGGAAGAGCGCTCTCTCTCTCTCTCTCTATCTCTGTGCCTCTCCATCACTCTGTTTCTATGCCTTTCAAATAAATAAATAAATCTTTTCAAAAATTTTCCTCCTAAGATAAGGATTTCAAACACTTAGTGATTTTTAACTGCCTCCAACCCTGATTCTAAATTCCTTCTGGCATACAAGGTCCTTCATAATCCCTTTCTTCCTCCCTGGTCTTGTCTTGTGAGCAATTTCTCACCTTTACAGTTTTGCAATACACACTAAAATTTTACATCTATATCGCTTCTTTCATTTTGGAATTCTATGACCAACTTATCCAAAGCTTCCCTCAAAACATCCTTTATTACATTGCTCTGTTTTTGTCTTTGTATCACTTACCATTATCCCGAATTTTCTTGTCTACCCCCTCCAGTTAGTTATTTTTAGTCTGCATCAGCAAAATGCAAAGTCAATAAGATCATGCATAGAGTAATGTCTTGGTATACAGCAGGTACCCATGATGTACTGGATAAATAAATACATGGATGATTATTGAAGATGCAGAAAGATTTTTCTGGTATCATCAGATAGAAATATGTGCCCTCTGCACATTTTATAGTGACTTACTCTAAGCTGTATGGTATACAGTTGTTGTTTCCAATAACTCCTTCTTGCTTGTAGGATTTTGGGGAACAAGGGACTGAATCTTGTTTGTGTGGGGAATCCCAGATACACATGACATATATTTATCTGTGAAGTCAGAAGGCCTTATAGAGTGGAGTGAACTCCACTCAGAGAATGAGGCAACACCATGTGTGATTCTGTTGTTGGTTCTTTACCCATTGTCTTGTATCTGAGTCAAAGGAATGGGGAGTCTGGATTGAAAACTAGAGGAAATGGAAGAACTCTGTTGACCAGTTTTTCATTGATTGAATAATAAAACATGAAACAGAGGGAAAAGGCGCATTCTGCATTCTTAAATGCAAAATGGAGGATGGCATCGGCAATTTGCATTTGCATCCAGAGCAACTGCTCGGTGAGGATGTTCTGGGAATTCCCAGAAATAACTGAAGTGTCTTCCCACAGGCTGCAGAATTCACAGCAGTGGATGAAGTCGTGGCCTCCTGTGCACTCGTGCATCAGGTCTAGCGGTTTCCGGAAACACAGCTTAGAGTTGTTTCTTACTGCATGGCACGGCTCCTGCTGCAGGGTTGGCTCTCAAGAATGCCGGTTGAATAAATATTGGCTAACAGCTATGTAGAATGCAAGAGACAGGATTTTCACGAAGGACTGTCAAGGGGAGATACATGGAAGGGAGGGTAAACTATGAACTCTGCAGGAAGCAGGAGAAACTGAGACCTCAAAGTCCTCCCAGGAAGGCTTCTTCTAGTTGCACCTTCCCCACTGCCACAGAAATCGCCGTTTTTGTCACTTGCTATGACTTCCACTTAGAGTCCTCAGAAAACCCTCGCACAAGCACTCTGTCCTCTCCCGGTCTGTCCTGCTCGTCACTGCTGGTGCGCTGGTGCTCTAGGGTTGCTACTGACGGGCAGCCCTGTGCTCTCTGAAACCCAAAGTGCCAATGCTCTTCTCCTTTTTGGATCTAACTTGTAGAGTTCCTCTCCACCTCGACAGGAACTATTTCTAGGGTGTGGTTCCTTCACTCACCTCGGTTTGAAAATTTTCAGAGAAAGCAGCCCCTGTCGTCTCATCCCTTTTTCCATAAAAGTCTGACCTATCACTTGGGGAATTGGGAAGGCAATAAATAGCTAAGCAAAGTGGGGTTAGTTCTTAGAGGAGGTATGGAAACTTAGGATTTGAGCTATGGCCCCTTTATGTTGCGTGGACCAAAACAGAGAAAACCTGGAAGAATATCACATAGCACTTCTTCAACTACAGTTCACTTCTTAATCTTTTTGACCATGTAAAGGGATTTTCTCCTATTCACTTTTTAAAGATTTATTTATTTATTTGAAAGGCAGAGTGACAGAGGAGAGACAAAGGAAGGGAAAGAGAGAGTGAGAGAGAGAGAGAGAGGTGGGGGGGTGGGAGACAGAATCTTCCATCTGCTGGTTCATGCCTCAAATGGCCACGAGAGCAGAAGCTGGGCTAGGCTGAGCTAGGAGAACTGAACTCCATCTGATTTTCTCAAATGGGTGACAGGGACCCAAGGACATGGTCCATCCTAAGCTGCCTTCCCAGGTGCACTAGCAGGAAGCTGGATCAGAAGCAGAGCAGCTGGAACTCAAACTGGCATTCAGATATGGGATGCCCGTGTCCCAAGGAGTGACTTAATCTGTTGCATGACAATGCCCACCCCTCCCCCATTCATTTCCCCGACTTTCCTACCTTTGACCTTTCTGCCCTACCAAATTGGATTCTTCCTAAACTCAGTTAGTTCTGAAAATACAGATTTCTTCTTTGTTCATAGTATGGACCAACTTCATACCCATTAGTGATTCAGGCCTCATTTAATCAATTTTTCAAAAACCAAAAGTAAATGTTTTGTGGTGGTTTCTTCTTTTAATTTTGTCCATGCCTATAACCAACTGACATGGTTTCAGGAAATGTAGATTCGAGTTGTTTCCTATGTGGCACAGCTCTGATTAACATTATCCTCAGCTCTTTGTATAATTCTGTTAATGAGATTGTCTGAAGTATTGAAATATTCCTTCACATGGAATGCATAAAGGGAACACTCTAGAAAGCAAATAGGAGGAAGAAGGTGTTTGATAATTCACAGAACACACAAGGAGTACAGGCACGTGGAAACACTTCTGATGCAGAATCGTGGGTATTTAGTGATGTCAGTGCGCCCAGGTGGCGGCAGCAATGATGGCTATAGATAAAGGGCATTACCTGCCTGCCAACTTTCCATAAGGCAAAACATCTTAGCTGCTGGAGATATGATGAAACAATGGGACATACATTAAATCAGCCAAGTGAATTCTGTAATGGTAAAAAATATCATATTTTCACCAAAAGTATAAAGCCACGAGTTACCACTCACAAGTTCTCTATAGTACCACAAGAGTTGTCATAGTTTGTTGATTCTCACAACAGCTTTATAAATCTATACTACATATCCTTATTACTTGACTGCACAACATAGCCAGGATCTGGATGAAGATTTCCGATTCAAAATTTAGCCTACATTTCACTAAGCTTTCAAGCCCTCACAGGGTAAGAACCTATTAATCAGCTCATTCACTCATTCTACACATGGTTATTAGACACCTCTTGTATGTTAGGCAATGCCTGGTGACCTTGAGTGGAACCTGACCTCATCTTGTTTTCAGAAAGAAATATGTTTCTCATTTTTCCAAACCTGCCCACTGCTCATTGCACTTACCAGGTGCTCTGATCAGGACTTTCTGGGCAGGGATTTTAGCTTCCAAGTCTCACTCAGAGGTAATGGGAAGTACAATGAACAGAATGTTGCCCTTATGCCAGGATGTACAAGGATGAGGGATGGGATGATTCTCAG